ATAAGAATTGGGCCAAACCACCAGCTAGTTTTTATTGCTATTTAAATAAATAGGAATAATAAACACCAGCAAAAGTATTGTTTTTGTTTGAACATTGCCAAGTTCTTTCATTTTGATTTCTGAATAAAAATAGACATTTTCAGCATTTATTGCAACTCTTCTTTTTCTGTTTCTTCTCGTTTCATTTTTTAACAATTTGTATCCTTCAAATCCTATATTAAATCAAGGGCATCTTCTTAGTGAATCTTTTAAAATAATTAAGTCCTATTTAATTTTCCATGCTAAAAGCGTAGGCTTCTCTTGTTACTCCCACATGCTGAACCTCACTGAAAACTATAAGGTTTAAGAGCCAACATTCCTTCTGATATTTCACTGAATGACCCATTTTTGTAACACTCCTACTTTCTACTGTGTGAAAACTCCCATCAGAGGTCCTACTTTCTGTTTCTTTATTTCCAGCACTCCCAGGATTTGATGTCCCCTTAAATCAAACTAGCAAGACTGTGACTAAATATTTGTTTTAATCATTTTTTTCAAATGCTATGCATCTCATGCCCACGCTGTGGTCCCAGGAGTCAAATCTTTTCTGTCAATATCATTTGTGTAGCTGGTCATTGATTGGCAGTATTCCTCTTTTTTTTTTCAGATCTCTTCCATAAACTGAGAATCACCTGATCTCCCAGGGCTTAACCTTTCTTTCAAGGTTTTGTTAAAGTCTTTGGTGATATAGTTGTGGCTGTTCTCTGAAGTATCATTGGTTCCCACATATATTAACAGGAAGGGGATAATTATACTTGAGAATTCCTGGAAATTGTTCTATTACATCCTGATTTTAGCATCTTGCAGATAGCACATTTCACAGTGAATCCAGTTGGCATGTATTGCATTTGTAGACATTCCTTGTAATTCAGCAGCCGCTGTGATTCTTTTTTCTTAATATAGGGCATCATTTCTGGCATTTAGAGAGCCACCAACTCTCATTCTTTTATATAATGTCTCTTAAATGTTAAGAATTTGTTTCAGCTGCAGAGGCCTAAAACTCACTGGGTTGCTACAGTGCAGAATATCATTATATTTTCTGCACCAGACTTATCCTCTGCTTGACTTATGGAGAATTGCATCCACTATTACCGTATTTTCCGGCGTATAAGACGACTTTCTAAACCATGCAAATCTTCTCTGAAGTCGGGGGTTGTCTTATACACCGAATCATCTTATACGCCGGAAAATACCGTATTTTCTGGCATATAAGATGACTTTCTAACCATGCAAATATTCTCCGAAGTCAGGGGTCATCTTATACGGTAGATTCTGTGTAGTCCTTAACTTTAAACTAAGAAATAATAATAATAATAATAATAATAATAATAATAATAATAATAACGAAAATAACATTAAGAGTCTGGATGAGGAAGAGTACTACAAATACTTGGGTATCCTTCAAGCTGACAACATCAAGCACACTGAAGTCAAGAAAAAGATTAGAGGTGAATACATCAAGAGAGTGAAGAAGATCTTAAAATCCAAACTCAATGGAGGAAAGACCATAAAGGCAATCAACACCTGGGCAATCCCAGTCATTAGGTACACAGCTGGAATAGTGGACTGGACTCAAGCAGAACTAAAAGCAATGGATAGGCAGACCAGAAAATAATGACAATGAATCATGCCCTTCATCCACGCAGTGACATTGATAGACTTTATCTACCAAGGCAAATAGGTGGGCGTGGAATGCTACAAGTACATCAGATGGTTGAAGAAGAAAAAATGGCTTTGGAAGAATATCTGAAGAACAATGATGAAGATGCACTGAAATTAGTATATCAGGAAGGCTTACTAACTACTGGAGAGACCAAACTGGCCTACAAGAAAGACCAAATGAAGAACAGAATAGAGGCATGGGAAGACAAAGCACTACATGGCCAATACATGAAAAAAATAGCTGGGAAAGCAGATAACAATAAACCTGGCAATGGCTAAGAGCAGGAAAATTGAAGAAAGAGACCGAGGGACTAATTCTGGCTGCACAAGACCAAGCCTTAAGGACAAATGCATACAAAGTCAAAATTGAGAAGACAGCAACAGACAGTAAGTGCCGCCTATGCAAAGAAGCTGAAGAAACAGTGGACCACTTGGTAAGCTGTTGCAAGAAGATTGCACAAACTGATTACAAGCAGCGGCATGACAAAGTAGCAACAATGGTGCATTGGAAGATCTGCAAAAAATATCATTTGCCTGTAAGCAAAAACTGGTGGGATCATAAAATAGAGAAAGTCATAGAAAATGATAAAATTAAACTGCTCTGGGACTTCAGAATTCAAACAGACAAGCACCTGCAACATAACACCCCAGACTTAACAATTGTCGATAAGAAAGACAAAAAAGTCTGGATAGTGGATGTGGCAGTGCCTGGAGATAGCAGAATAGAAGAGAAAGAACTGGAGAAGATAACAAAATACAAAGACCTACAAATAGAAATAGAAAGACTGTGGCAAAAGCAAGCAAGGGTAGTACCAATAGTCATAGGCTCCTTGGGTGCAATCCCAAAACAACTGGAGCACCACTTGAACACCATTGGCATTGACAAATTCGCTATTAGTCAATTGCAAAAGGCGGCCTTATTAGGAACTGCTTCCATCCTGCGACTATATCTGTAATACCATCAAACATCCACATCTGCCTATCCCAGGTCCTGGGTAAGGACTCGATAGGTAGACAAAATGCCAAATCCAGTCTGAACATCTGGCTGACTGTGCGATGATCGATAATAATAATAATAATAATAATAATAATAATAGGAAGAAGAAGAAGAAGGAGGAGGAGGAGGAGGAGGAGGAGGGATCTTGGAGGTCATCGAGCCCAACCCCCCTCCCCCACTCAGGCAGGGAACCCTATATCATTTCAGACAAATTGCTGTCCAGTCTCTTCTTAAAAACTTCCAGTGTTTCTCTGGATTAAGTCATCTAATCTAAACTGTTGCCAATGTGGTTAAACTTACTTAAATTCACATTGCAGCAATTATTTTAAGAGCGTCATTTGTACTGATAAAGAACTATAAGCAAATATTTTGTGAATTGGAACCTTTTGTTTTGGGATGCCTAGGTATAACTTCATGCTCCTAGTTGGAATAATACAAGCAATTGTTGAAAGAAAAATCTTCATCAGGATCCAGTCCAAGCCGGGAATAAACAAAATGAAGACTACTTTAGAAAGAAGGTTCTTGTTTATTAATTTATGCCAGAAACATCAGTGACAGTAGCATGTTTCTGGGGTGCTGACCACATGGTGCTGGAAGTGGTGGGTTTTTATACCTTCTTGAGCTTTTGTGTTTGGAGTTGTTCTTGTGGCATGAACTTTGATCTGAAGTTCAGTATGCCCTTTTGGTATTCTAATGGTGGTGGGTTAATTCTATTGTGTCATGTCCTGCTTCCCTGGGGTTGTGACCGATGGCTATGTCCTGTGTTGGATGAGTGAAGAATTGCTGGTTCTAATCTTATCACTCTGCTATTGTTAGCCATCAGTTTTGCTGCAAGGGATTTCAAAATATTTTGTCTTCAATGGGCTTCTGCCTGCTAGTATTGGCTCATGAATGCAGCCTCAGTCTTTCTGAATGGGATTATCAAATCTGCATTTATACAGAGCTGGCCTGCTTAGTTTCTGTTTAGGGCTATTAAAAAAAAACTGGGCCTGCTTTTCTGCCTTTAAGATCCTTTGGGGAAATATAATACTGTGCCTTTTTAATATCCCCCCAAATATTTCCTTCTCTGGGGGGGGTGACTTCCCACACAATAAAACTTGCTGATTTAATTAGCTGGGGATATGTTAAAAATAATGGAATGGGTGGAAGAAAATGTGGAAGACCTAAGTAGGAATTGTGTGTGAAGGAAATTCTTAAAGCAATAAAAAATCCCAGATAAATGTTTTCCCAGCACAGTCCATTTTTGTTCATACTGTATGTAAAGGCTTTTAATTTTAATCTTCTACTACCAGCAATAGAGTAGTATTGCTGGTAGTAGTAGATTAAAGAGTAATTTTTTTCTGACATATGTATTTTGTAGTGAACAATATCTAGTTGTGGGTTTTTAGTTGTGTGCTTGTCTCACACAATATAGTTTACATTTGCAATACCTGGATCATACTAAGGCCAGACAAACCTCTTGAGACTATGAAAATCACAAAAGAATAAATTACATCAACCATTAATTATGTGAAGAACAGATTCCTTTTTTATATCAACTACTTGCAATCTTAATATGGAATTACTGCATATTTGATTACAATGTATAGTTTAAATGTGTCTAAGATCCAGACTGACTGACAGTGGAAACCAAATTGGAGTTGGGTTCAATCATTATACAGAAATGTTTTTTTTTTATTTATCTGGAATTTGATTGATATTTGCATTTGCCTGAAAAATGTAATCTGTGAGCCGGGAGTTTGCAGAGGTTAGCAAGATTATCATCTACTCATTTTAACATTGCTCAGTTTGAGAATTCAAGGTTACTAAAATTACAGTGATTTCTGTGTGGTCATGCTGTTCGTAAATAACAGAATGCAGAAAGCAGCTGAAGACTGATGTCATTAATGTCCTATGGTTTGTATTGCTGTGGTCTGATTATTGGAAAAAAAATGTAGTTCATATGAGAAACCAAATGTCCAGAACATGAATAAAAATATTGCATCTTATATCCAACAGATGAATGAAATATTGGACTAGAAGATCTTCACAGTCCCTTCCAACTCTGTTATTGTATTATTGTATATAATAATTTTCTTTCTTTAAAGAGAAGACTTTTTATTAGAGCCTTTTTATTAGAGCCTTAGTCCATGCTTTGGAAATGCCCCAAAGCAATACAACATAGGTTTATAGTTAAACACTGTTATTTTAGTAAATCAGAAGTATCTTCCTTTGAATGTCTTCATTGCTGTTGCTTGACTGTGACCTTAGTTTGTGTTCTCTTGATCTCTCTTTATGTTTGTTTGTTTTTTTTAAAACATAGCTTGCTGACGATCAGGGATTGGTTTTGATGACCACTGTTGCCATGCCAGTATTTAGTAAGCAAAATGAGACTGTAAGTATTCTCACAGTCATCGGCTAAAAAATGAAAGCTTTAAACTAGCACATAGAGTATTTGAATGGCTTGATGAAATCATGTGTATTTTTTTTTTAGATTCTGCTGTTTCCCCATATATTTGTGCTAGCTGTTGAAATAAAAGCACACATTGTTAATATCAATAACCATTAAATACTTTTTGAAATACAATATCATGAATTCATGAAGCACAAATTGAGAATGCCAAGCTCTTTATTTGCATGTGTATTGCAGCTTGTAAATGGGAAGAGGAATATATCAAACAGGATATAAAACCTAGAAATTGTTATATAAGATTGGAAATTATTTGTTTCAATTACATGTAAGTATGTTAAATGCTCCTAGATTATTTGCATTATGTCTCAAACATCTGAACTCATTATACACTATCCGGCTGTGTAAAACTCTTGCCTGTAGTAGCACCCTGCACATATACACAATTAGCTATACATATATATGAATACAAATGCATGCATTTTTTATTGTTGTTCCTATAGAATCCTTGATTAGAACAAATGTCTTTACTTATGGTATAAAGTTGCCTAAGGAAAAAATAAGTTCAACAAAGTTTTAATATGTTTTTAACATTCTGCTTCATTTCTAACATTTTAAACTGCTTTTTACTAAATATTTCCCTCTGAGGTATCAGTTACAGGATCAGGCAGCTGGGGAAGTAAGTTGCATATTTCCATAAAAGGCGAAAGATTTATACGATCTGAAGAGAAAACAAAGTAAATTGCATAGTTCCATGCAACATTTTTCCATGATACACTTCCAGACTCAAAGAGTTTAACTGAAAGCATCCTTATCAGTTGAAACATTGCACACCATATATGCTTTTCCTTCCAGGATTAGGAAAAAAAATGGCTGTTGATTTTAGAGAAGTGATCCATGCAACATCTCAGAGAGGCCCTTTGTTTTAACTTAATGTTTCGCTCAAGCATCCTTCAGCATGGTTCTTCCAAGGAAAGAAGTCTTCCTTCCTGATGCTGTGTGTGAATTGCCATATGGCCATTAATGCAGTGATAAGACTTGAGGTTGCCCAGCTTCACATGGGCCCAGTGCAGGGGTAGGCAACCTTGGCTCTTTTATAACTCGTGGATTTCACGAGTCATAAAAGAGCCAAGATTGCCTACTGCTGGCCTAGTGCGTAGACAAGCAGATTAACTACAGGAATCCTTACCAATAAAGGAAGAATTACTGTAGCTAATTATCTGTATTCCTTGTGCACTTTTAATCCATATGGGATTAAACTGATTGGTTGAAACCATTTCTCTGATTTCAATTGTTTATTGACCAAACATTAAACATATATTTATTTTAAAATAGAGATCAAAAGGCATTCTTCTGGGAGTTGTGGGCACAGATGTTCCAGTGAAAGAACTTCTAAAGGCAATTCCAAAATACAAGGTAACTTATCCATTTGTAAACTGCTACTAAGTCAAAGCTAATTGGATTTGTAGAATTGTAAATATAAAAAGCTATAGAGCTAGGTCCAAAGAAACACTTTTGTGAAAACAATTGCTTTTAGCACAAAAGAAAACTGGTAGAAGCCCACAAGCCCATTCTACTTGTACAAGCTACTGTACAATGTCTTGCGCAAGACCGATGTGATTACTGCTGGGATGTGATCTTATGTACTACCTGAAGACATGTGCTTACTCTATAATGGTGCATCAAATTCTATTAAATTTCAGCAGCATCAGCTTCACTTTTTCAACTGAAATATTGTTGGATCTAGTTCTTTGCCAGTCAGTGTAATAAAAGGTACCTTCTTATGAAAAATAAAGCATGAATATTGCTAAGAAAGTTACCATTAGAGATCACATCCCAAAATACTGTCATGGAATCAGAAAATTATTTTCATACCTTAGATATGAAATCACATTGTAATTTACTGCATGGAAATGATTAGTCATACCCTTTAAAAGAGTTTTGTTTTTAAAAGTAAACTCTTCCACATTTGGGCAATTTTTCTTAATACTTTTTTTCAGTTCTCAAAAGATCAGTTTTACCAAGACTTCTATACTCTGTTAGCTTAACAGAATTCCAGCTGATTGGTGTAAATGATAATAAAATAAGAATGCCTTTATGTAGCTTTGGACCTTATTCTGTGGATGCTCCTGACATCACTATTTTAAAATGTGCCTAATCAGGACAGGTGGGTTAGCTTAAAATCATTGAGCTAAACATTGTTTTGAAACATCTTATCACTTTTATGCTTAATCAGAGAATTTTATAACAAAGCTGTAATCCACAGCAAAATAATTTACAAGTGGGGAAAAAAAAATCTCTCAGCAGGTTTTAGATAATTTCTGCATCCTGGGGGTAAAGCTAGGTTATGCAGAACATCTGTGAAAGCTATTAACAGTGAGTTTTCCACCAAGGGATGTTTTAATGACTGCACATCATTGATCTGAAGGTACATTTATTGTAATCAATGAATGCATTCAGCTGTGTAAGAGAAGCATTGTCAAATGGAATGGGATTTTTAGTGAAATAAGTATAGTGCTAAATTTGATTATGTGTAAACCTCTAGGTCTAATATAACACATTATTTTAGATTATTTCCCACAGCTCTCTTAGGTCTGAAATTGTAAATTTATTTTTATTCAGATTGGATTATTGCCTTATAACATGAAGAGGAAGGAAAAAGGGGGGAAAAAGCAGTAAAAATTCCCACATAAATCTTACAGTGTTCCAAAGGGAATATGGGAAAAACAAGTGATTGCCCTGCCACCCAGAACAAGCTCCATTGTTCATTTTGATGTTGCATTCTGGATATCTATGGAATGCAGTTCAGATAGCAACTCCTCTTTGTTTTAACCCTAATATATATATTTTTAAAAAATGTACTTTAACAAAATGTGTTTTAAATTAATTATGCACTGCTAAGTACCATTGCATTTAATGGCAAAGATCCCATTAAACTTCTGTTCTGTGCATGATCTCTGTCTGTTATCTAATGTCAATAAATTCTGTAGCAGCATAGATAGGCCACAGCTAGAATAAAACATTGGAGATTCCAGAACTTTTATTCCAAAAGCCTACTAGGTCTAAATAACCAGGCTTTACCATCCTTCCTCAGGGTTAGCTGCCTAGTATTCATTATTGCCACTGCCTGTCTTCCAAGAAGTGAAAGAGATAAATTAAATCCAAATGTTGTTAGGAAAATAAGAGAGAAAGGAAGAGTTAAAATATACCAAACCTGGCTTACAAAAATGCATGCAACTTTCATAACAGAGTAGAAGATTATTTTGGTCTGGTATAATTAGTGAATTAGAGAAGGATCTCTGCTTCCAAATAAGATTTCAGTTCACAAAATCAAATGAAAATAAATCTTCTGGGAAACAGCCTGAAATTATATAGAGTGACCTACCTGTGCCACAAAAGGTCAAGAGGCAATAAGGCTTAATTAAAACATAGGTAAAAGAAGTTAAAAGTTTATCACTCCCTTTGACAAAAAGCATTTCTTTGAGATAGTTTATTTCCCACTATACTGAAATCAGTAGACCTGTTTTTAAATTAACCTTCTCTTGATAAGAGCACTAGCCTTTGGATGTGTCTGTGTACGCAAGTTGGGTGCAGTTGTTTCCTACACTCTGTCTTCAGGCTGGCTGGGGAAGGCTGCAGATAATAGTTCACCCTGTTTTTTAATCAGGCTGCTTCAAACTTTAAGAGTATTTCTTTTAAGAAATAATGGAACTAATGTTGTCTTTGTTGATGTGAGAAGTAACAAACTTGAGCTTGGGAGCCCAAATGGCTTGGATTCCTCCTGGCTGCTTGATATTTTGTTTCCAGCGGTGCATTGAGAGAGAAACTAGTTGCCTCTACTCTTACTGCACCTCACAACTGTTTCCCTGGATCTCCCACTCACTCTAGGCTAGTGATTCTTCTGGTGGTAGAAATCACCTGGTAAAGTGGGAAATTGTCAACCCATTTTTGCTTTCTTCCACTCTTTCTCAGGCTTTTAAGAGCCATAGTGTAGCTGTAATTGGGTCAGTTTTGCCCCTTGTTTTTCTCATTCCCTGAATTTACTGAATCAAATTGTTCATAAAAGCATCTGTTACCCCACAAAAATCTCACTTCATTCTTTAAATGTTTCTCACCACTTCTAATCACCCCACCCACACTGCTTTGTGGGACATAAAGCAAAGGTTCCCATGTCTCCCCTCTTCCTCAAAAGTTGAGATTTCTTTTAAAGAATTGCCTCCAGTGAGATTGGTGGCCTACAAATTTAATAAATAAATAAAGATGGGTGTAGAGTATTTGGCAAATATTCCCCCACATGCCTACTAATATTTGGGGGGGGGGGATAAACCAGAGGGCTCCACTAGTTGCTTCCTTTGTTGTGCATTCAATATTTAAGGATAGAGATGTTTATCTGCCATGTTACTGAGCCAGAATAAAGTCCAGCCTTGGGTCAGTAAATGTTAAGCTGGCATACTTTTATGCCAGTTTAAGAACTGGTAGATGAATTTTAATGCAGCCATAAGGAGTCTTAATCTATTTTAATCCAAGGCCACTCAGTATACTTATTTCTTCAGGCTTTTCTAGCTTCAAGTCAACCTTTGCTTCCATCCTATTCCTCCATGATTCATATATTGCCCTTTAAAAAAGAATAAAACCTTCTTAGGCTACCCAATAATTTTATTTTCTCCTTCCTCTCATTTAATTATTTTTAAATTATTTTTTATTATTCTTCCTCTGCAATTTTCTAATGCTTTAGAATATGAACTATCACAGGCAGCGCTCTTTTTTGTGAAGTGGACAAAATGGTTTCTAGGGCTTTTCTGAATTTCGGTATCAATGGACACTGATAAATTCAATCTGAACATAGAGTATTGTAAAGTGACTTGTAGTGGTTGACACCTGTGAGGGTCTGGTTAAATATTTCTCCTTTTCTTCGTATAGGATTCCTTTTCAAAAGTACCTGGCCACACTGGATGCCCCTGCATTGACCCTTGTGGGAGAGTGGGAATGATAAAACAGAAAAAGCAATTTATATAATCAAAATATTTCTAGGTCACTGTTGTTTTCAGGAAAGGAATAAAACTTAGATGGAAGAAGGAAACAGCCTTAAAAATAGAATATTAAAAAAAATCCAGACCACTCTGTTTGGAGAAGCCTGAGAGTTAGAAAACACAAGCTACTAACCTGTGCAACAAAGCAACCAACTGTATGTTTGAAGTGAAAACAATAACAGATCCAATTTTCAGGGAAGCTTTCTTAGAAAATCCCAGTGGGAAACCGGGCAAGATAATCTCCTGCTGGGATTGTGTTGCAGCTATTTCACCTGTTGCTTTTCAAAGGACATACTTATTTGACTTGTTCTTATTTTTGTTCTTCCTTACAGCTAGGCATTCACGGATATGCATTTGCAATTACAAATAATGGATATATTCTGACTCATCCTGAACTCAGGCCTCTGGTAAGATCATGAAGTACTTGATAAAAGGTGCCCTCCCCCTATTTTTACCCCTTCTCAACATATAGCAAATGTAGCATTTAAAGTAAAAAAAAAAAAGGACAAATTATTGATTCTACAGCAAACTGTTTAAAAATAAATAGTTGATTAACATAAATGCTACAGGGATTTCCAGCATAAATGACAATGGGGGTTGTTTGGTGATTCAGAGAAGTGCAAGTTGCAGAGTAAAGGACTTGGATGCCTAAAAATTCAGAAAGGGAAAGCCATAAATTGCAGCAATTATGTACACTTACATTGAAATGGAATGCTGTACTTCTAGCTAAAAGCCCCTATTTGTCACGTTTAAGTAGATTCTAATTTATAAATTGTAGAAATGTTATAAAAAGCACTCTCGCTCCTCCCTGAAAAAAGACAGAATAAAGATCTTTCTCAGTTTAAAAATCAAGTAGCAATACAGAGAGTCCTCAACTTACAACCACAATTGAACCCAACATTTCTGTTGCCAAGCGAAATATTTGTTAAGTGAATTTCGCCTCATTTTGCAACCTTTCTTGCTATAGCTGTTAAGTTGGTAACCCGGGTGTTAAACAAATCTGACTTCCCCATTGACTTTGCTTGTCAGAAGGACTCAAAAGGAGATCACATGATCCCCTGGGACACTGTGACCGTATAAACGTGAGTCAGTAGCCATGCGTCTAAAATTTAATCACATGACCGTAGGGATCTGCAATAGTGTGAAAAACAGTCATAGGTCACCTTTTCAACGTAACTTTGAACGGTCACTAAATGAACTGTTGTATTCACTTCTATTGCTATTACTTTTATCCCTCAGTTAACTGATATAAGAACAGTTTTTGTGAAGTGCCACATACACACAAGCACAGACAGACATTTCTTAAGAGTTTCAGCACCATCACATATTGCTAAAAGAATGGCATTAAAGGATTCACTAAAATATTAGTTGGATGCAATGTAACATCAGAATTAAATAATAAATTAACAGAAGCAATAAGAATATTTATCAGAAGTATGCTTGCATATCATACATTTGGAATCATTTGATTCTGTTGTATATAAAACTATGATTGATTGCATCCTTATCCCTCTAAACATTTAGATTTGGCTTAGTTAATATTTACATTTTAGCAGATTCAGTCGAGAGATTTAAATATACTATTGGGACACCCAAAAAATCTGCCAAGATTTCCCTCCTGTACCCCTGTTGTTCTATTTTAAAAAGCAATAACACTGAAGAAACATATTATATGCTTTTAAACCAGCTTATTGTAGAAAAAGGTTTTGAAACCTTTCTCTAGTACCATTTCTTGGACATGAAGGACTTCAGTTGTTGCATCCATATTATGGAGGTTAAAAGTAAAGATTCCCTGAAACCAACTAAGGGTGTCGTGCAATATCTTCATCAGTACAATTCTTCTCTCCACCTGTATCCAGTACAGTCTAGGTTAAAAATTGCTGAATTCATGAACCCAGCTGACAGGTAAAGAAGCATGTGGTAAAGAGAGTGGAAGCAGCTGATCACAGATGAACTTTAAGAGAGTAGTATTGGTGGCAGCAAGGGGCCAAGTCATCTAGTTCTGATTTTGAGGCTCAAAGTAGTAACTGGATAGCCATGGAGAACAAACACACTAGAGCTGGGGTGTCAAACTGCTGGCCTGTAAGCCGGATGCGTCATGCCAAAACCGCACCTGCCCCATTGCCAGCAATAGAAAAAAAGTCACGATACATCGCAACACCTCTTGTGACATTGCGAGTTTGACACCCCTGTACTAGAGCAATCCTTTGGATATACATGACTGTGGAGGCAACAGTCATTAATTACTATGACATTATTCCTGCCAACAAAGCAGACATGAAAGACACAAAATAGAAAACACTGGTGAGTATTATGCAGGCAGACGTCTCTAAAGAAACAAAATGTAATTCCTCCAGGTGAAACCAGAGGCAGTGATCACAAGTGGCTACTTCCAGTATGGCATAACTGGATCATGGATGAGTCAAAAAAAATATCAGGGAAAAAATGGTTACTGAATTGGAGCCATAGTTAGAGGCAGGTGAGGAATTAGCAGTAAACACAAGTGGAAGGGACCTTGGAAATCCAATCCTTACTGAGGCACAAACCCTATGCCATTTCAGACAATGGTTATCCAATCTCTTCTTAAAAAGCTCCAATGTTGGAGCACCCACAACTTCTGGAGGCAAGATTTTCCACTGATTATTTTTTCTAACTGTCAGGAAATTTCTCCTTTGTTCTATGCTGCTTCTCTCCTTGATACAAGCTGTTATGGTAGAAGAGAGAATGCTTCTGAAACATTTTAGCTCAGGTCAGGAGACTTTCAGTATATTTCTGAAGTAAGCACTGTGTGCAGCTTGGCATACCATTATGAACAATCGTTCAAGAGCCTATTGCAACACTGTTATGCTCCATGTATATCAAATAAGTTCTAATTTTTTATTTGACAATTTGGCCAGGCTACAGAGTTTCTTGTTAAAGAAGCTTTTGACAAGTCATTTAAAAGTGTTCTCCTTTTTAAAAAAATGTCATAAAAGAATAGGAAATGAAAACTGGTGATTGACTTTAATAAAATTACAATGGATTAGAAAAAATGTTTTGAATAAGAGTTAAAAGACTAGAGGACTAGATTTATTAAATGGAATATTTAAAGATTAAATATATTTTTAATTATAGTAAAAAAAGAATGAAAAGTTTTTGGAAATAAATATGTATTAGCTTACAGGAAATAGGGATTTTAAGTAGCACATTAGCTTTTTATTTTTTTATTCTTATTCTTTTTTTAGTCTTATTTATTGCTTAAGAAAGGTAAAAGTATTGGGTTGGCTTACATGAGAAAAAATAGACTTAAATATTTAAATGTAATTAACTTTAAGAAAATCTTAAGCAGTAAGAATGTTTTGAACATTGTGGGAAAAACAAATGTAAATAAGAACTGTAAACAGGATCTATGATGAGACAACCAGAATGACTAGATAAAAAAGGAATATTATATTGATGTGATTATCTGTAGAAATATTAGAAAACTTTTATATTCAATTGTCATTCACTAAAATAATAAGAATTGTATTAAGTTAAGGTTGGTAAAAGAGAACATTATGGGAAAAAGAGGAAAACAAGTAAAGTTATTATGTGGATTATAGATTATAGAAATCAACTGTTAGTGAATGTTTCTTAAATGGAAACTCAGACAACACACTGTTTATCAAATATCAAGGTGATTATGTTAAAAAATTAATAAAACATATTTTTTAAAAAAAAGAAAAATGGAATTTGTAGTAGGATATTTCTTAGAATAATATCCACTATGCAGATCAATTCTTTGATGCTTCTGAGATGCTCACAAAACCCACGATCCAATATTAAGTTGTATGTCTTAAGTCTATTGAAATATGCACATATAAATTTGAATTGGATCATTGCCATGATAAATTAGAGTTACAACAGACACAGGGGTTCCTATTCTGTCATCTTCTCTTTATTTATGATTTTGCCATTATACAAATTAAATCTCATAAATTCCCTGTTTCAGTGGGATTTATGTAATGTATTTTAACAAAATAAATGATCCAGGACTGACTGGCAAATGATGTAATTCATGACAGCAGATTTTTTAAAAATTGGGAAAAAGTGGTTATGCTTTCTATCCTTAAAACACTGACATTTCTGGGTCATTACCATACACCAAGTTTGAAGATCCCTGTCATACACAATCATTCCATTAGAAAGATCACAGATAAATAAAGTTATGAACTTGGAATTGGGAACTTTGAATTCGCTATCTTATATTCTAATTCTATTTCTACTGGACTAAATAAATTGGCCCATAAATTGAAAATACACCCCATGAACATCATCCTAGGTACAGTGTCTATACTTATCCTTTCCTAGTAGATTGGAGGTAACTCTCCAATTCCCAACTCATAGTTTCTGGGAATTCTGGGAATTGTAGTTCCATGGCATCTGGAGACCTCAGGCGATAGAATGTTCCAGTAAGTTATGTTACCCAGAGATTCTTCTGGCATGAAGAGCAGTTGGTGAAATGAACTCCAGTAATCAAATTGTTAATAGTGATAACTAATGATGGGAAATTCCCATTGGATGACCAACAAAATTTCTTTGTTTAAAGTTGTGCTGTGATTACTACAATTGTTTATTTCATGGAAAATTGAATTTCTTTTGGCTCAGAAGACATTATGTGTATGAAGTAATTGTATCACAAAAATTGCCCTTACATCAGTTTGGTTTCTAGGATTTAGAGGACTGGATTTGTTTATGTTCTTGCTTAATAAAATATTAGCAAGACACAAATAAAGAAAAAAGTAACATGCAATGATAGCCAAATACCCAATTCATTTTTTTTTTCTGAAAACACAATGCCAGTTCAGTGATTGACCTACAGTTCCATTCTAATTTTTTGGGGGAAAACCAATAGATGCTAGGTTGTGGGGCTAGTGAAACCAATTTAACAATGCTCCCGTTTAATTATTTGGAGACTAACAGGGTAATATATGTTCAGGTATAAAACAAACATCCTGCCTCGTGACTTCCACATATGTTAACTTCCATTATTGCTTGCTGGTGGCCCCACTGGCTGGCTTCTAGTCAAACACGAGAAGTGAATTTGAGAAAAATCTTTGATTTTCTAATGTAAACATTTATGGTCCACTGAGAGATGATATAATCTTTGGTAAAAAATGGCTGGAATAAAATTATTTTAGCAAAAATATCTATCTTTTTTACACCGGTATTTTCCAGAGCCCATGTTGGCTATGCAATACTTCAAGTGTTAGAATACAAGACAGCTGGAGGACACCAGATGGGGAAAGACTGCTCTTTTATATTCAGAAATCAAGTTACATTTTGAACAATCTCTCTGTTTATTTTATACCTGAGTAACCCTGTTGAAGTTTTGGTCTCTGCTATGATTGTAAACTGTATTTTTATATAATTATTCAATGGAATCAAT